AAACTGGCACTTGGGACCCGGTCAATCTCCTTGGTGGTCGTGTTCTCCCAAGCAAGACTTCTTCCATCTATCCTCCCTTCCTCTGTGAACACAATATACTCTTGCTAACACTGGCCTTTACAAGACTTCTTCTCTATTAATTAACCATAGTCTGAAGATCGCAGTTTCCATGGTTTAACTCACTTAACCCCCTGCGATATTGGTGGCCCCGACGTGATATGAACACGTGAGTACGCGGCGACTCGTCCATCTAGGTGACCATTTGTGTCCGCACCGCTGCAAACCAAAAAACGCGAGTTCGGCTAACTGTCCTTGATGATGGGTTCCCCGAAATTTAAGGCGTGAATTTGGGTGTCCTGCTTCGCAAATATATTCCACACGGGCTCATAAAACGCAGGTCAATGGTATGATTGTAAGCGGTATCGTGCGGTGGAGGAGAGGCGTTGTAGTTGGGACGGATGTGGTCGGTGTAGTCGTAGGGATGCTGTCAACATCGCCTATCCAGGTCGGGGTCCAGGACGGCAATTGGACGCGACATCTTAGAGATAAGGATACTATCAATGGCAAAATTGGCTGTATGATCGTGATTCGGAACTGGTACGGTCAGCCACGATTTTGAAACTGGTAACGACATCTGAACCAGGACTAGCACAAATAAAGTAAGATGCAGGGAAAATATGACGGAAACGGGGAGCGGGGCACCCAAGGTAGCGATCGCGGAGGTGTTAACTCTTTCAAAGTAGGGGAGAGATTGTGACACCGAATGTTCCCTGTTGTACAAGAAATAACGGCCAATTGGGTTTATAGAAAATAACGTGAGAAGTTGAACTCAACAGACGAATTATGGCCAGGTGAGTTAGATGGGGTACGCGGTGGCTTGTCTATCTAGGTGATCACTTCTGTCTCCACTGATATAGACCAAAACTCGGGTTCGGCAAACTGTTCATGATGATGGTTTCTCCCATGACACCAGACCTTAAGGCGTATAGAAGTTATCTCGGCTGTCCTGCTTCGCAAATATATTCCATTTATTTTTCTGATTAAAAGCCAGGCAAACAACAGGCTAAACTCAACCCCCGACGTTTTGCTTAGGACAGCCGGATTTGGAAGCCCGGACACTGAGCCGCGGACATACGTAGGAGTGTAAATTGTACTTAAAGCGGCTTTTTACGTATCTACCGACAGCCACGAAGGTAGGTGACCCGTTCCCCATACTACAGAGCAAACAGCTAGCTAGCGGTTTCCCAAGACTTATAGTTCACCCTTTAGACAGAAGAATGACTGATTTTAGAAAATTCATATTAAATGCAAGTAACAAACATGAATCAGGTACATACTGCATGTAGAGGTCAAAATTAAGCCCACGTGGTTTATATGACTGTTGAGAATAGGGCAGATGTTCCAAATAGAAATGGAAATGGTTTTTTGAATATTCGTAAGAAACGTGAGTAATAAACGCGAATCGGATACAGAGATTGGTAGATTTCACAGTTAAGTCCACGTCGGTGATATGGCTTTCGAGAACAGGACTGATGTTTCAAATAGAAATGTGATCGTTTTTTGAACGTTCGTAAAAAAAGTAAGTGGATAAGCATGAATCGGATACAGACATTCTGCAGTGCAGCATGTAGATGAAATTATTTAAATTTTAGAGATAAGAGAAAAAGAGAATAAGGAGATCGTGAGTGATTTGTAACAACGCAAGCTGGAGGAGTTTAAAGTGAGACAGAAGTCGTCCGACGTCCTGCTTTCCACTTCACATTCGGCAACTTGCGTGGATGCATTAGCAGAGCGTAAAGTAGAGTGGAGCAGTGTGCATGTGCCCATCGTCAATTATTCCGCCCACACACGATCCTGAGCGAAGGAGGTGAGAGTTGAGAGAATTCAGCGAACTTGAGAGTAAACATGGCATGATGGAACCTCCGAAAGACAGCGATGAACGGTAGGACAGTCAGCTCGTGTGAGAGCAAGTGCGTCTACGCCAAAGTCCGTCGTGTAAGGAAAAAAACCTAAAAGGACAGCTGTACCGCGAGAGACTGAGATCGTGACCGGTATTCCAGCGGACATCTGAACGCCTTCAATAATCCAGGGCATGGGCGCATGGTATTGATGAAGCGTGAGAGTGGATGCAGTATAAGTCTGACAAAAATCAGGTGGAATGAACTGATACATGGCCAAGTGACAGCAGCTGGTGATTGTTGAGTCGGCATCTTTGAACAACCTAAAAAATTCCCTGCATTCAAGAAGTCTGCTAAAGGAGGTAAAACATCGCCTTCAGGTGCATTTTCCGTCAGCCTACCTGCCTGCTCGGACGCATAAATCTACTGAAGCACGACAAATTATGGGCCAAAGGCAATCACGACCCTCCCACAAGCTCCTCAAGTTGAGACGCGCTCGCGGGTGCGCAAAAGATTCCCTCGCGGAAAAATTCACAAATTGCAATGCTGTGGGTGTTGCGTGGACGCGCCAACCTACTAACGCTACCGACTGTTGAGCCAACAACATTCACGCTCTCCCTGTTCAAGCCCAGACGCACTCGAGGACGCGGAAAGGCTGTCGTCTCGGCCGATTTCGCAAAATGCAATGCAGTAGACGCTGCGGGTCCCCTTCGCTTTGAAGCTGGGGTACAAACAGAGGCTCCGGGCGCACAAACCTACCAACGACAATCACGGCCCTCTCACAAACTTTTTTAAACTAAGACGAGGAGGCACTAAGTAGGTGTTTTCGAAATAAAGTAAGTCTCCAAGTCGCAAATTCTCTCGTTTACACATAGAAAACCCAGGTAAGTACGGGTACGCACTACCAATCACTTTGATTTCTGCCTGTGCACTCGAGAGTTGGTCGGATTAGATCTGACATGATAAACTCAGGCGCTTAACTGCTGCATACATAATCACACTCGTTCAAACTTGTATTCCTCAATGTGGATGAGGTCGGCATACTACGTTCGACTGCTAGGACAACAAAATGAGGTTGCAGCGGAGTCAACCAACACGAAACAAGATAAGTTCTCCGCGCTGTTCACATTCGAGAGAAAAATGTGGAAGATAGTAACGAGAAATGCAGTGATTTGCACCGAGTTTAGTCACATTCCTGTGAGTCATGAAATGATTTCTATTCGACGAAAATTCATAGTTATCGAAGAAGACTGCTGCGTTAGACGCACTCAGGAACTAATTTCCCTGATTTTGATTCCAAATGCCTAGTAAGACCTGGTGACCCCTGTCGAACATCTCACGTCATCCCTCCTTCCAGTTTGCGCATTGGTTGCCAAGGTGACCGCGGCAATGCCGATGTCATTATGGTCAACAATTCACCCCCTCCCCGGCTGGATAGCCAATCGCACGGTACGCCAGTTTTACTCTGTAGAAATTGCAGGGCAAATCTACATGTCAGTCCGCAGGTATGCACTGCTTCATACTATTCAGAACGGTCAATCCAATCTCGGAAATAAAGCTTGAGAAAAAACTGATCTACCGAGTGGCTAACAGCAAAAAGGAAAGACAGTTCGCTTGACAGACCTGTCAACACACGCAAAAGCCTTCGGGTCGCCTTTGTCGTTCAGCAGTACGCAGATCTGTCTGCGTAGTTCCGTAGTTCAATTGAAAAGGCTTTCTGCTAAAGATTTCCCTAGTTGGTGTTTCCTGATGCATATATCGATCCGGTCTGATGAGCCTACATTAGGTTCAAATATTCACTTCGGACTATGCTAACTCCACTGACGTTATCCCATTTTACAACGCCGATGGACACTGACTGACTGTTGACGAGTCATGGGTCAACAATAATCACGACCCTCCCACAGGCTCTTTCAGTTAAGACGCACACGAGGTGCCTGACTCCTCGTTACCCCACGCGAATCAAGAAAATCTCTGCGCACTGCTAAATGAAATTATTCAGATTTTAGTGAAGGATGCGGAAGATAGTTGTGAGCTATGTAGTGATTTGCAACGAGTTTTGTCACATCCCCGTGAGTCATGAAGTGATGTCGATTTGACGAAGTTTTTTACCTACCGAAGCACACTGCTGCGACAGACGCATTCAGGAACTTATGTTCAAAGTGTTGCATCCCAAAGGTCTAGTAAATCCTGGTGACCACTGCCGAAAACCTCATCGTTTCCAGCCCTCACGTAATCACTCTTTCCATCTTGCGCATTGGCTTTCAATGTGACTGCGGCAATGCATATTTAAAACCAGTCTGCTGAGCCTGCATTAGGCTCGAATGTTCACTTTTTGACTGCTCTAATTCCACCTTTACAACGCCTCTGGCTCCTGTTGATTGCAAATCCTCCTCATTTACCTGGTACCGAATAACGGTCTCAGGTATTTCTCATTTCTTCTCATCCGCGAATCGACTAATAGCCACTTATCCATATATGACTTAGCAATTGGCTGACGTTTGCATACATTCGCCAATCGTCCACTGCCAATACTATCAAAAGCTGACCAATTAAATCATGCGTGCGGATCTAAATAGAGCTAGTGCCCTTGTCATGCTTACAGTTCAGTGAGCATAATGCTTACCGGAAGTCCCACTTACAGTTCATGCGACCCGAGCTGGCCCTGAAAGCAGGAAATTTTTCATCCAACAAATTCGTGCACTTCCTCAACCCCGTCTCTGATGCGGATTCAACAACCACTAGTTGTTGCAATTGGCCCAGTTTGTTTTTCCGCCTGTTTTCTCTCAGCGTTATGCGGCATCCACTGGTACGCGCGATTGACTCTATGCGCCGATCCTTCGGATTACTGAAGACCTTCAGTGTGTCCGTTCCGCAACCAATCCAAAATTTATTCTTATACGGTAGAACGGCCTTTGTAGCTTCCTCTTCGTTGCAGACGGCCGAATGTGGTGTAGATGCTCTTATTCTCTTAAGAACTGTCATGTCTTCCATCGATGGCTGTACAGCAAAGGTTTCCATCATGTGCATGCTCTTCTCAAATTCCTCGAATTCTCTCAAAAAGGCCTCACTGTCATTCAGATGTGAGTCGGTTGAATAATTGTCAAGTAACCCATCCGCATTGTCCCGCTCTACTTCACATTCTCCTGCCGCATCTGTCACAATTGCCGCATGTGAAGCAGGCGGCAGGACCCCTGGAGACTGCTGCATCACTTCAACTGCCTCAAGCACACGTCGTCGCAAATCATT